GGTCTTGGCTGTTGGTGTGCACTTCCACGGCTGCAGGATTTCGCCATCAGCAATGGAAGCCAAACACAGGCATCAGACCAGAGGTGTGCAAGTACATAGCCCCAGACTGCATGCATGGCATGGGAGTCAGTTGTGGGGGTCTCCACTGATGTCTTGCAATCAAGAAGCTGCAGAGGCCTAGGCTGGATGCTGGTGTAGGTCCCCAGCTCTGGCAGGGGGCAGGGCAGGAGAAGGAGTCGGAAGGGACTCAGGTGGCTGGCATCAGTGAAGGAGAACCCCTGTGGGGTGAAAACTGGGGGAAATCTGCAGGGTTGATTGGCGGCTGGGCTGCCCATGGGTTTCTTCTACAGCAAAAGTTGCTGGGGTCCTGGCAGAGCAAGTCACTGGGGACAGCAGTCACCAGCTGCTTGTGGCTGTTACAGTAGCCCCTGCTTTTCTCCTCCATCCCTAGCCACCTCCACACATTGCTGCTTTGCCGGTCTGGAGAGGGGTGGGCATGAAATTGAAATGGGTCCTTCACGTGGTGCCCCAAAGGCTGGGGAAGCTGGTTGCCCACCTTCCTCCTCCTCCCTGGTAGGGGTCTCTTTCTAGATGGGGGCTTCCCTGTTGGTGCTGAGCAGTGCTGACCTGGAGGATGGGGTGGCACAGGCAAGCTGAAGCTGTTCTATCCCTTTCTGTGCAGTTATTCTCAGGCTTTTTGTCTCAATGTGTTGCTCTGATGTTTCTGAAGAGGACAGCAGCGCTCTTCCAGGGTGGTGTTTGCTCATGGATAGCTGTCTAATTGCTGATCTTCGTGGGGGGAAGGAGGCTGAGGTCTCCCACACCACCATCCCGGTGATGTCACCCCCTCCCTTTCAGTAGGGCCCTGTCACTTTGGATTTTAGTTAATTCAATTTCTTTGAGAAAGCAGCTCTGTGCTGGGCTATTAAGTGAATTATCCAGCTTGCTCTCTTTGTCAGAAAAAGAACAATTTCTTTTGTAACTTTTACATCCTAAATAGAAGTTCACTTCTATTCTTTTTCAAACCTCATCTGTTGGAGAGCATTATTATTACTATCATCAATTTACTGGTATTTACTAAAATTCCACTTTCACTCTGAGGCCACCTTCTTTCTGTGCTAAATTCTTTCTTCATGGTGTATGTCCTCTAGGATTTCCTTGGCTTTAGAATTCTTGGTGGTAAATCATTTCAGTCTTTATCTGTCAATTTGTAACTGTTATCCTTATTCTGGAAAGAAAGCATTACTGAGTATCCAATTCTACACCAGCGGTAATTTTCTCTCTCAGGCCATTCTTTTTTTGGCTTTCACTTTGCTGCCATAGCTTATTATTTTTTTTTATTATTTTTATTTTTAAATTTATTATTTTTAAATTAGTATTTCAAGTTTTTGTCCTTTTTTTTCAATGTTTTTATGATCTAGCATTTGTTTTGTTCTATAACTTAATGTGAATTTCCTTTATATTATCTGTTAGGAATGCTTTTTTATCTTGATTCTGTGGATTTGTATTTTTCCATCGTTTCAGGAGAATCTCTTTAAGCACTGCCTCCTCTTGTTCCTCTCTTGTCCCAGAATAAATGTGAGACCTTGTGTCTTAGTGCTAAGTTCTGGGTAAATAATTTAGATGTATCGCTTCATTCACTAATTTTGTCTAATGATTGGTCATTAATATCTTAGTTATTTTTTTCAAAAAAATTTTTCATGTCTTGAAGGCTCTATTTTTCAAACCTGCCCACTTATTCCATCATCTGTATTCTTTCCTTCTTGTTTGTACAGCTTTGTGATAATAGGTTTAATTTCTTTAAATAATTTGATACATAGATGTTTAATTATTTGTCACATTGGCAATGCCAATACCTTTAGTCCTTGAGGGTCCAAGCATGTTGTTTATTTCATTAACTTTTGCTCATGGTGTCTTATCTTCCTGATGATTTGTCACAGTGAAGTCATGGCTTATCCTTAGTCCACCAGAATCTTAGGGGTCTAAACTGGGAATGTGTCTCTGTGACCATCCAAAGCTGCCACTGTGAAACCTCCTCCATGTTTATTTCAGTACCTTACCCCAGCCAGCCAACCAATCCAGAGGGCCCGCTGCTTAACCTTCAGTTGACAGACTTGTCCTTGAAGAGTGAGTGTTCTAGAAAACTGCCCTACTACCTTCAAGAACAGCAATATTTCAGAGATGTTCTCTATGATCCATTTATTCTATAAAGGCAGTCACTTGAGAGTATCTAACTTGCAATTGTGGCCAAAAGCCTAAACCTTTCTTTCAATCTGATGTTTGTTTTGTATCTTCCAGGAATTTCTGTTTCTCATGTACTGATGGTACCCTGTGGTTTGGGGCACTCCTAGAGACTCTTTCAAAATGCTACCTACATAATTCAAATGACATTTGAGCAGGAATAGAAGAGGAAAAGCAGTAGGCTCAAGTCATCACTGCCTTTTCCTCTTATGGCTTGTAGCATTGTCCAAAAATTTCAGGACTCTATTAATGTAGTGTCAACAGTGGACATTCTTCTTTCCCTTCTCATTTTAATGGGATTAAGGCTAGTATTTCTCTATGAAATGCTATATGGATTTTTGTGTTCAGATGAGTTTTAATTTGGTTAAGGTGATATTCTTCTCTTCCTATTTTTAAAATAACATTTATCAGAAATCATTGATCAGTCAAATTGATTTTCTTTTCAATTCTCTCCTTCTGAATACATATTTAAGTTACTTGATCAACTGGATATATTGCATATGTCATTCTGCTAACAGCAAAGGGAACATTATCACCAAATTTTAATCTAAAAATATTGTCTTACCATTCTTAGCTAGGAATGGCTTCATAGGCAAGTATAAACAAAAGTAATGTGATGACTGAAAAACTCTTATTTGGTAGGATCTGTCCATTACTGAGTGGACCATCAGTTACCTCATGGGTGGGAAATCCTTCACACTCTGCAAACTCTCAATACAGAGGTGAGACCGATTAAAGCTTAATTGTCCTCCTTCTACCTCTTTCTTAGGTGGCTTATCTCCTGGGCAGTCATTTTATTTTGAGGATTGCAGTGCCAGGTCATCAGCTCTGTCATTAGTTTTCTATTAAATTAACTTGGCTATAGTGTAAGTCACCTATAGGAAATAATGGTCTGGATATGATAACAAATTTTCAGTTTTTTAGATACAATTGAAAGGATTGTTCAGAACATCCACAAATTTAGTTTTTTCTTCTGATACACCCAGTGACTAAGGTACATTGAGTTAGGTAAATCATACCTAGATTCAGAGAGAAAAAAATAACTTCTGCTTGTTTCTGAGCTGACTGAAACATGACGAAATGGATTTCTGTGTCTGTAGAATAGACTAGTACCACAACCAGTATCCACACGATCTGTTTTCCTGAAACTTCACCCAACCCCTCAGCTACACAGATAGGAGGACAAAAGGAGGTGGGAAAGGTAAAAAACTGAACATTTTATTTTATTTATCTGAGGGAGAGAGTGAGCAGTAACGAGTGGGGAGAATGGCAGAGGGAGAGGGAGAAGCGGACTCACTGCTGAGCAAGGAGCCCGATGTGGGGCTCGATCCCTGGACTCCAGGATCACGACCTGTGCTGAAAGCAGATGCTTAACTGACTGAGCCACCACCCAGGTGCCACAAAACTGAACATTGTAAAAGAAGAATGAGCATGTCGATTGTTAAGGGAGCTGAAGTAAGAGGACTGCAGCAACAGGTACAGAAACCTGCAAGCTCACTATAGCCTGCGAGTAACACGGGATCTTTATTCTGTCTTACCTCATCTCATGTCTTATCAAACATTTTTTTCCGTAATGCTCAACCTACACAGGTCTTTCTGTTCTTCCAATAAACTAAGCAAGGGACCTTGTTCTTGCTATTCCTTATGCCTATAATACCCTCACAGGAATATTTGCTTATCTTTTTCATGCCCATCATTCAGACCTCAGTTCAAACGCTACATCCTCAGAAGTCCTCTCTCTGTCCCTTCTATTAACTGCATCCTCCAGACTATATGTGGTCGATTACTGTATTATTTTGTTCTAAACACCACTTTCTGAAATTATCTTAGCCACCTATTTTTGTATGGTCGGATTTTATTCCCTGAAGATAAGTCCTGTGAGAATAAAAATCATTTCTTCCATTTTCACTGTTCTATTGTTAGTGCAAAGAAAAATGTCTGCTGAATAGAAGATACTCTGCAAATATTTATTGAAGATCCACATAAAGGAGTAAAACAATGAAGAAAATGGCATATTTAGAACATAGATGTGAAAGGAAAATGAAATGGGGTCAATTATGAGGTTTTAAAATGGAGCTGGGAGGCCATTTAGGAGGTGGGCCTTATGCACGTCCTCACTCGTGGAACCATGAACTTTTGAACTGGGCCAAATTGCAAATATTCCAAGGACTCAGCCCAAACACCTGCAACTTGCTACAGTAAGAGATTTTGCTTAGTGAGATCCTAGCAACCAACTAGATTCAGCCAAAATTAGCTTCCTGCCGCCAACACCAATCAAAAATTCTTTGTGAACAATGTATACAATGCGTTCCCTTTTTGCTTTAAAAACCTCTGACTTTTGCTCCCTAGTAGGACACTATCTGGGCTGTTACCCGAATCTCTATACCCCAGATTGTGATTCTTTGATCCCACATAAGCACTCTTGCTTAATGATGGCCTCCTCACAATTTTATGTGGACATGTATATTGTTCATCCCCTTGTTGTTCCATTGTGACATTTACCAAAGTTCTTTTTGAAGCATAAATTAGTAATGTCAGGAACTTACAAGAAAAGGAGGGAGGGGCTTGTTAACACTTGGGCTGTTGGGTAAAAAAGGACAGTGAACGTGATGGAACAATTGAATAGATCTTTTGTCCAGCTTCTTCTCTCCACATAGAAATGCTCATACCAGAACCCTTCTATTCTCACACTTAACAGTGTTTCAGGTCTTACATTCCACTCATGAACTAATTATTTCACTGTCTCTCTTCTTCTGCAGTAAGAAGTGGTTTGGCTTCTGGTGAAAACCATTGTTTAAATCTGGCTGGCATTTGCAGAAGAGACATCTGTAAATTAACAGAGGATCAGATTGGTGCCTGCAAAAGAAGATGGAGATGCTGTAGATCGTGGTGGATTCTTATACCAATTCCAACACCACTTATCTATTCAGATTATCAAGAACCCCTTAAGCATAAATTAAAATGAAACTAGGAAAAGCATCAAAAGGAAAGTTCTTTGCATCTAAAATCATTGGAATATAGATACTAAACACTTCCAGCTTTATTACCAATTCCTATTACCCCTTGTCAATAAAAATAAATAAATATGGATTTCAAATCTCCAGATACTACTTCTTTGTGACTCATCTTTAGATTCAATCAATCTCTTTAAAAGTGAAAAAGCCCATTTATGTAACAAAAATATTTTCTGAATTTGTCAGAAAAGGACCAAAAGAATAATAAAAAATTTGCAAATGAAGATACAGTTATACAAAACATAGTTAAATAGACACATGGTACAAAGGAAATGCAAAATAGAGGGGAAATACAGAAAACCTCAGGGGTGGGAAGAGCTGTAGGTTGGGAAAAGGGAGAAAATTGGAATAGGGCAGGAGGAAATCATTTGGGATAGTACATAATGATTTTTACTGTATGGCAGATAACTGGAAGGAGATGAAAACAAGAAAGGACAGAGAACGAGAGCTTGCAGATCAACAGAAATGTATATTATTACATAATCTAAAAGGTAAAACCTCAACCAACAGAGAGATTTTTACATCTCCCTCCTACAAAGAAACACTGTGATCATTTAGAGAGTCTCAATCTTTTATTCTGCGAGACAAATAACTCCCCTTCATAGGACCTAAACATTTTACTGTAAAAATACAGTGGCGTCTTTCAAGAGCAAGCCGTCAATATCCCTCTCTAAATAGACGTTCTGCTGCTATGTAACTCCTGACTGTAAGTCCATCTTCTCTCCAGTGTCATGAGGTCTCATTTTCTGTCCCGAGTGTGGGAACACATCAACTCAACAACATACCTCAAAGTAGACTCTCAGAAAGAGTCTTAGTTTTCACTCATGTAGAGAATTTTGATGATTAAAGAGATGTGGTTTGGTAGTGAGGACTCCTTTCTTCTATAATGCAGTATTTATGAAGTCTTTTTGGCTTTGTTTTTAATTCTCAGAGTAGGGACGTTGTCCACAATAATTTAGTAGAGTCTTAACTCACTTTAGGGCAAAATTGAGCTTAAAACATTGGAGATGTACTGCAGGTCATGAACTGAGTGCACTAACAGTGAAAGATCGTGATGGTTTGCTTGCCATTTCTTCCTCCTTTCCTCCTCTCTCCACTATCCGGGGATAAACTGGATAAGCACCACACCTGAGCTGCATTTGTTTTACAAAGACTGTGCCTTTTTTGGGTTGATATGATAAACTGAGCCTTTCAGCCAATCAGTGTAACTCTGTATTACTTATCCATACCCTGACTTCACAAAATTGGGTGCCCAATATTGGTTCCTCAACTAGACTAACTTCCTGTGAGTGTTCCTGAGCCTAAGAGTTCAGTAGAGACCTTTAATTTGGCTTAGTTCATTTAAAACAGCATGGCATCCATTATCTATAACTTGGAATTGGGGTGCCAGAGATGACCCAAAGAGCTTGCTTTCCTGACTTACCCTAGAACCATTATGTCTCATATAACTCAGGAAAAAACCTGAGACACTATATCCTAATGAGATGGAATCATAGTTCTGGGGGGAGGAGGGTTACAAGAGAAAGACAGAACCTTTACAGATATGCGGGGAAGATTTCACAACCTTGAAAGAACAAAAGGCTTTGGCTGCATCACAACTGCCATCAAAGAGAGATGAGCAGACTCTCTGTGGTCCCCGAGGGAAAGGAATTGGTGGCAGGTTCCCGAAAGCTGCTCTGCCCACTTTTTTATCTTGTTCTCTGACTACAGAATAATCTCCTTACTCATGAGTATCTCCGTTCAAATATCTTTTCATTAGTCGTGTACAGTAATAACATCTTCTGTCTCTTGGCATGTTTTAAGCCATTTTAATCAAAGCATTCTTCGAATATTTAATTGACACTGGACCTTAACATCCTGTCTAAATCTTTCTGATTGTTGGACATGCCACACTTCATTTAGTAAGCCAATATGTTGACTAAGTTCCATGAGACAGTGTGTGTGTGTGTTCCATGTTTCCACTGATGTTCAGGCTCGAAATACTGGACTAGGGATAGCTACACTATAGGGGATCATTGTAAATGACAGCAGAATAGGAGGTCCCAGATCTTGTCTTTCCACATTAACACTGATTGAACCACCAGCCATGGATGAAAAGACCTTTCTGGGAGCTCTGGAGTCCCATTGAGAGATGGCAGCATGCCACGCTTGTACAAAATCTGACAACAGCCATATGGAAAAGAATAAGAAGAGTTCCACTTCATCTGTTACTTGTCACCCCCTGCTCCAGGATGGCAGAGCTCAGCACGGAGAGAGATGCCCTCAGCCTGCGATTTCTCTCATAGGGGAAAGAGAGAGTGCGGTGAGCAACAGCTTCCCCTTGCTGTGGGGGCACTGCCTGAGAGGCCCATTTCTGTCTCAACGCACCCAGATGCTGAGGGGGTCCGCACATCATCTGGGGGCAGATGAGAATTAAGAGAAGTTGCAGGACTCACAGCTACCAACACACGGATCTCAACAACCAGTCTGCAAACCCCCACTATTCAGGTCCTTCATGAACTCCGGTGGCCAGCCTGAGTGCTTGCCGATGATCCCCCGTGTGCCCCTTCCCCCAGGCCCCCCCATCACACCAGAGCTCAGCAGCTGGTTGGACAACGTAGCCTTGGTAGGAGGTGCACAAACTGTGAAACCTCTCCTTCGGGGGAGGGGGGTAGCTTGTGCCCGTCTTCTGGCATGTCAGCACACTGCCCTAGAGAAAGAAAGGGGTGGGTGATTCTCAGTAGGGGTGCGGCATAGTGGGGTAGGCTCGAGAATAGTCTTTGGCTCCACACTGCCGTTCAGGCCCACTGGGGCACAGGAGGTCCCAACTTCCAGACCCACTAGGGCAGGGTTTGGGCTTCCAAGGCTCCAGAGCAACCTTGCCCCAACACCTTTGGGTGTCCCCACCATTATGCCTCTGGGGGACATGGCCCATGTCAGGGTTCTCATGCATTGGTGTCATACGCCCGGAGTCCCCCCGGGCTATAATGCACACTACTTGTTCTACTGGTCTGGGCTCTTGGGGGTCACCGTGCCCCCGTGGCTCCACTAGGCATTGCCCTAATGGGGGCTCTCTGTGCTTGGCCCCACAGCCGCAGTAATTCTCTGCCTGGGGCCCACAGCTCTCCAGGGCATCTCTGAAATCTGGCGGGGGGGCAGCTATGCCCCCACAGCCTCGCTATGACGCCTGCTGGAGCTGCCGCTGAGGCTGCACGAGGGCAGGGACGGAGCCTGCAGTGTGAGGTGGCACCAGGCAGCAGACGGCTCCTCCTACGAAATCATTCCACTCCGGGGTGCTGATGGCAGGCACAGCCACTGTGATCTCTGAAATGCCTTCAGGAGTCATTTTTCCACTGGACAATGGGCCCTGCCATCTGCCGAGATGTTGACTAATCACCCATTGTCTTGATGAAGAGCTCCCAGTTTTTGTTGAGGTGGCCCATCCTCCCTAATCTCCTGCTCTGACTTGGCCACAACCTTTGTGTTCTCTCCCAAACAGGCTTTCTCCTTCCTTTCCAAAGGGTAGGCTGAGGGTTTCTAAATTTTTAGGTTGCGCTTCCTCTCTGGTTAACAATTCTGTCTTTAAGTCATTTCTCTCCTTTTGCCTTTCACATAAGCAGTGAAGAGAAAAAGGCCACCCCTGCAACACTTTGCTTAGGTATTTCCTCAGCCAGATATCCAGTTTCATGGCTCCTAACTGATGCCCTCTGCAGAACACTGGGACACGAACACAACTCCGCCACATTCTTTGTCATGTTTTGTAACAAGGATGGAAATTTCCTTCTTTCTCCAACAACATGTTTCTCATTTCCCACTGAGACCTCAAAGAATGGCCTTTGCTGTCTGTTTCTACTAACATTCTGTTCAGGGTTACTTGGATTCTCTAAGAAGACTGAGGTTTTCCCCGCACTTCTCTTTTTTTCTGAGCTTCCATCTGCATCACCTTTAAAGGTCCTGTTCGTGGCAGTGTGGGCTTTCTCAAAACTCCTCCAGCCTGGGACCAGTTCCAAAGCCAGTTGCACATTTTCAGGTGTTTGTCACAATAGCATCTCCATGTCTTGATATCTATTTTCTGTCCTGGTCTGCTTGGGTTGCTATGACAAAATACCATTGACTGGGTGGCTTATAAATAACAGAAATTTATTTCTCACAGTTCAGGAGACAGAAATCCAAGATGGATTTGCCAGCATGGTCGAGCTCTGGTGTGATCCCCCTCTAGATTGCAGACTGTCTATGTCTTGCTGGATCCTGACGTGATGGAAGGGGCAAGCACACTCTCTAGGGACTCTTGTAATGGCATTAATCCTATAAGAGTTCCTGCCTCATGACCTAATTGCCCCCCCCCAAGGTCCTATGTCCTAATACCATCCCTTGGGGGGAGTAGGATTTCAACATATGAATTTGGGAAGGGGGGGACACAAACATTCAGGCAATAGCTGTGTCACTGTCATATTTCAACTGACTTTATTTCTGTAGGTCTATTTCTGTACTCCGTTCTATCCCATTGATCTACATGTCTATCCTTACATCAAAAGTACCGTCTTGATACTACACATTTATAGTAAGTTTTAAAAATAGTCTAAGTCTTCCAATATTCTTTCTTTGCCAAATATTGTATACCTTTGCATTTCAGTAAAAGATTTTTATAATTAGCTTATCAATTTCAAAAAAGACATAAAATTGTGCTGGGATTTTGGCTGGCATTATATTGGATATATAGATCAATTTGGGGAGAATTGAGATCTGGGCTGTAACCAGTCTTCTATTCTGTGAACACTGTATGTCCCACCATTCATTTAGGTCTTCTATAATTCCTTACTTTAGTGTTTAGTAGTTTTCAGGAAAAAATTTTGAATGTGTATTGTTAGATTTATCCCCAATTATTTCATGTTTTTTAAAACTATTGTAAATTATGGAGGTTTTTATTCTTCCAGTCTTCAGTTGTCCATTGCTTGCATAGGTAAACACAATT